AGACGTTTCTAATCACTCGCCATTATATAAAACCTGGAGATAAATTGGCTTCTGTTCTCAGGGGAGACCTGGAAGAAAAATACAGAAAAAGCAAAAAAGCAGATCCTCTCTTGCTCTGCTTTGCACATGGCTGGGACAGATCTTCAAATAACTGCTCCCATCAGTTGATGAATCAGTCCTGGAGGTGGTTGCAATAATCAGAATAAGTGCAGCCCTGAGCACAATGGAAAAAGGGTCCCAAGAGATGATGTAGGCACCTTCAAACTGCAAGATGAATGTGCAGTTTTCAAAGCCGGCCTGGGTGCTGGAACAGCAGCCTGGCTGCCTTTTAGATCCATCCCTTTTATTTGAAAGGGTTCTTGTGGAGCAGTCTGATCACCCACAAGCACCAATCTGCCTCCCCTCCCCAGTAAAATGACAGCTCTCAAGCATTTGGGGACCTGCTGCCTGCCAGTGAGAACGGAGGAAGCGAGACAGTGAGACAACACTGGATTTTGCTCACTGATATTGCACAGCAATGGTAACCAGCTACCATATGGCTCCTCAGTTACCACTGGACCATTAAAACGAGAGCAAAGACTTGTGGTGCCTCTTCCACAAATGCCTTTCACAAGCAGTCAGTTGAAAATAAAGGGCTCTGCTCCCCACCGATAGAAGGGCTGGGACCCTGCCAAGTGCAGCGCGCATCCCCTTGGGAAGCTGTTGTCAGTAACAGATTACCAGTGATGCCCCACAGTAACATTCTCCGTGCATGGGCTACCCTTTGCGTTACCTAGATGGAAAAGGAAGAACGGATCTGAAGCAGGCAGAGAGACTCATGATCCTAATTCCCCTTGGTGCTCCTGAAACCTTGAGCTGTATTCAACAGCTCTTGAAGAGCTGCAGGCCCAGCTCCCTGCCGTTATGTTTGCTCTCGGGAGTATAGTGAATCATTTTGAGAGAACATCGTAGGCAGACACCAATTAACACAGCCTTTGGCCGATGAGATAGACTGTGTGTCTGATGAGATACGCTAATTGGTGACACCCTTCCCTGGACCTCCTTGCTGGAAAGCAAGGAAAAGTGCCAGATGGTTCACCCTGACTAAGTCTCCTTAGGGCTGTGAGGGATTGTGGAGAGCAGAAAGGAATGGCAACATAACTTGCAGCACAGCAGGGGAGAGAAAACAAGGGGAGAGAAAATCGGTAGCTTGAGTTCCAGGGTATGGGACTAAACAATCTCCTTTGTCTTGGATAACTCTGCTAAAGGGAAGGAAGATCTGAGGGTGAGTAGGGAAAAAGCAGATGATGAACCAACTGGCATATCCCTGCCGAGGTACTGAACACATTCAGGTGATGCCAACCATGTCCCACTTTAACCAGAGTCACCGACCAGAGCATCACGAGCCCCAGTCCCCCAGCCTGAAGACTACGTCTGCGAGGCGCCCATTGGCAGAAGGTGTGCAGGGGAAACAGTACAGTACCTGCCCGGGACGTTCTGCTGGCAGCGCTGCCTTTGCTACTCCCGATGCTGTCCCCCCGTGTCAGGATGGAGATGCCACTGAAGCTGCTGGCTTTGGTAACAGGCGGTCGCAGGCTGCGGATGGAGCCATCTGAATCTGTGCTGCTCCATGGCCGAGGCTCCAGGGACTTGATCTCGCTCTCTGTGCTGCTCTGGCGGCTGCCTGAGGCCCGGTTCAAACTGTCCCGGTTGCCCCTGCAGAGACCGGAGGAGTTAGACCGCACCTTTTTTTAGGACCTGCTGCATCAGTACCGCCGCATCGGGGCGGCGAGCCTGGTCAGCAGCTGGCTCTGCGACACAGCACGTTGGCACTTCGTATCGGGATCTGACAGCAAACACACACCCTGGGTCACAGCTTTCCTGGGCATGCACTGTGAAGACCCAGACACTGCTGATCTTCCTCAGCGTGTGTTGAGAGCTGGCTCCTGGCCCTTTTCCCTAGCCAGATCCCAGCCTGCAGGAGATGCCAGCAGGGTCAGAGCATGATCCCCTGCTAGAGCCCTCCTTGTCTCAGAACAGGGAGCTTTTAACAGAGCCCTCGAGACAAGGCTGATTGATATCTTCCGAGACCACTTTCCACACCAGCCCTGGCAAGGCTTTCTGCCCAGCTGGAACAGCTACGTGCTGGGACAGTGCCACGCTCAGAGCTGTGCTCCCACCGGTCACCCTCCCTTAGCCCCAGGCCAGGTCTGGCCACAGCAGGACTCTAGGGAGTATCAGCAATAAATCCCAAGCAGTGAGCCTGGTTTATCAGCCCAGCTAAGGATCACAAGCACGGTAATGGGTTCCTGGGTCGTCACTGGGAGAGTGGTGAGGAAGGCAACGCTGGAAGAGATGCTCATATAACGCTGCAGGCTGAGCCTGGCAGCAGCTCCACGCAGTTGTGGAGGGGAAAAGACAGCTGTGGAAGGAACTTCTGAGGTGATGTCCTGGGCTGCTGGGAGCATGCGAGTGCCAAAGAAAATATGTCTCTTGGAAAACCAGTTATATCCCTAAAGAGGTGAAGGAACAGGACTATGCAGCCTCAAACCCCGAATTACAGTTGACCTAACAAGCATCACGGTCAAGCTCTTGGGCTCTCTCCAACCAAACTCCGAAGGCTGCTCCTGGGGATGTTCAGCGAGGTGGGAGCGATGTCTGTGTGTGTGGAAGGGGCATGGAATGGCATGTCACGGCATGTCACAGCCTCTGCTCTGACTCGGCTGCAAACTCTGGTTCCCTGAGAACCCAGACCCCTCTCAAGCTGATTACTGCTAACCCAGCAGCATAAAGGTTCCGCTTTTTCTACGAATGCTCTCCAAACTCCAGGCACACTACTGCACCCTTGCTCTCTGAAAGCACTGCCCTAGGAGCTCCAGCCATGCCTTTCTCTCCAGTAGCCTTCCTACAGCCTGTTTCCAAGTGTGTCCACCAGCAGAGAGCTCTCTGCAATCAGGTCCATGTCTCAGCAGCGTGAATACAGGACTTCCAAGCGAGTGAAACAGCTGTATTGCTCTGAACGCCGGGCTTTGAGGGCGGTAGGTCTCTGGAGTTCACACAGACCTCACCTCCAGCACCACCACTGAGGGAACCCCAATCTCCTCAAGAGCTTGTCTATCTCTGTCCAGAGCTCAAAATGGTCCCAAGACCCACATATTCTCCCCCGTCCCACTATGAGAACCACAAAACAAAGACAGCAGGTTAACCAAGCTCTTTAGGACTGGGCACAACAGTCGGAAAAACTCCTAGCGCAGCCCTGGCTGCAGCTCAGCTCCTAAAGCTGCAATCGCATCAGCAATGGGTTTGCCACTTGCCAGGTGAGTTTTACTGCAGCCCCATGGCTGACCTGAAAAGTTGAACACCCCCCGCCTTGAACACCACTGCCACAGGCAGATTCCAGCACACAGTCCCTGTAACTGTGCTGAGGACACTTGATTTGCCACGACAGTGTCCCTCCAAGGATGGCCTGAGCCATGTGACGGACTGAGGAGAGGGGCAAAGCTGCTCCTACACTTGCCTAGATCCTCCTGTCCTGTTCATACTCAGAGATGCTTCATCTCCAGAGCTTTGGCTATTAAACAAGAGGACAGCAGGCATGAGGGTCTCTCCATTTTCATCCTGTTCTTTATCCTCCTACCTTCAGCAGCCTCCTGCAGCAGGGGTCTGTGCAAGGTGAGCCATCAGGCTAACTCCATCCTTTCAGCCCTTTCATCCACAGGAAAACTACTTAGTAAGAAAATGCTGCTCAAATATGTCCCCAGTGCCCTCTGCAGCGTACTCTGGTTGAAATGGAAGCCTGAGACACTTCATTGCTACCATTAAGCAAGCCAGCCTTTATAATCAGGGATTAGGGACAACCCCACCTTATCTGGATGCTGATCCTGTCACTGTAAGGGCAGGGGCTTTCCTATCCTTTTGGGAAACAAGAGGCGGAATGGTTTGAAAACTGCTGGAATCCTCCGGCTTCCCCATTCCTCCCTGCCGTTCCCACCTTCCACCCCTCCATTTTAACTGATGAATCAGCAAAAAAGGACTCAGAAATTGATGTTGCAAAAAATACAACTTCAAGAACTTCACAAGCAGCCATGCATGGGGTAAACTTACTCAGCAGGACAATGTACAAAATAAGTCACACAGAGATACCTAAAAATCTGCCTCCGTTTGTGAGAACTAGAAGAAAAGCCTTCTTTGGAGATTCTGTCGGTTAACATCAGAAAAAAGCATCATTATAGAGTCATGCAGTCCTCCATAGAGAAAGCCAGAGGTACAAATAGTGTCTGCTAAACAGTACTAACCTGCTATCAGTGAGATATCCATTCTGGCCAGTCTGGAAGCGCGGAAAAGACATGGAGATGGGAAGGAAAGAAAAGGGAGACTTAGTAACTTTGAAAGCAACAAACCCAGGCAATTTCAAAGCAAAGAGGAGCAAAGCACTAGCAGTATGGGGCTCGGACACAGTTTGCGTTGTGCACCAGTTACATGGTCACTCGGGAGTCTTGCTGAGCCTTCTGCACACCAGTCCCATTTGGCTCTCCATCCAGGCCCATTAGGAACCTTTCCTGCTACCTGCGACCCTGAGATCTCTCAAGAGTTTGCAAACCCGAGTCCTCAACTCCCTACTTCATTGCTCCAAGGCAGCTTTGATGGTAGCTTTGTCAACGGGACAATCAAGGCCGGACATACAAGGGTCCTCATTTGCTAAGTGCAGGCACAATTATCAGAGCCATGGAAAAAAAAAGGCAGAGGGCTCAAAGCCCCCCAGCCCACCCTGCGATAGTCACCCCTGCCTCTGGAAACCAGATGCAAAGCACTGGCTCAGCCCACGAACACAGAGCAAGGGTAAGGATACGCCCACCCAGCGCTGGGCTACCATGGGACAGCGCCCGCTCTAGGCCAGGGCTACAGGCAGAGCTGCTTACTGACACGTCTGGGGGTTGGACTAGAAGATCTTCGAATGTCCCTTCCAACCCAAACCATCCTATGATTCTATGTCTGGATGGCTTTGGGCCTGTGCACGTAAGACAAGTCCATGATCACACCTGGCTGGAGAGTCATCAGCTGAAGCCTGGTGACTTGACCAGGGCCTCGGCACAGCAGCTGCCTGAACATCCTCCTTGGGCAGGCACATGGCAATTCCCATTAGGACAAATGAAAGGCGTCGTCCCCTTGACGCTCAAAAGCAGCAGGCAAGGAGCTGGACTTTGAACATGATCCATGGCAGATGGGCACTTGGAATCGTCCCTGATTCCATCATTTGCCACTTGGCGCAGCATGGAGAGCTTCCTCCAGCTGGCAGACAGTACTCAACACAGCAGAGCACAGCAGCCTCTCTGAGCCAGACGTGAGCAAGGAACACAGCTCCGGCTTAGAGGAGTTCCACGTAGGGAGCAGAGATCTCAAGGAAGCAATAACCAAGCTGGACACTTCGTAAGAAAGACAATAAACGTACTGCCCCGATTCATCCTGTAAAGGCACGGAGCCCTGCCTGATACTGCAAGGCCAGCACTGCTTGGTCAGCAGGTCGAAGCTGCAGCACTGGAGAGAAGCTGGGGGAGACAGCTGCTGCTCCTTTCAGGTTCATCGACTGATTTGCTGGTCATCCCAGAAATGCCACTGCATAAGCTTATAATCCTGCCGGGCAGCAAGGAGCAAAACTGCCTCCTCTCTCAGTCCCCACACGTCTATTGCCCCCTGAAACAGGCAATTTAGGGAAGGAGCAGACTGGGGTGTGGCTCCTCTATCTCAATGTCTTAGACACCTTTGTTAGGAGCTGGAATTCAATGGTAGATACCAAGAACACGGGGAAATTTGTAGAAAAGGCAATGACGAGATCCGACCTCTTAGCATACTCGAGGACACCTTCTGCCACAAAGTTCCAGGAGGGTACCTGGCAAGTGAGTCATCCAAGCTTACCTCTCGTGCAAATATCCGCTCCCTGACCCGCTGATACTCTTCCTCTCGCTCTTCTATAGATTTGCTCCTTCTCCCATCCTGCAAGGGGAGTCTGATCTGAAGGGACAAACACATCTCAGCGGGTCAGCAGTTGCCAGCGGGAGCAAGGGGCGCAGTCAGCTGCTGATATTTTTATGTAGCAGTGTAAGTGGATGTGGCTTACGGAGTGTGTGCCTGATGCCTGGATGCAATGACACAGCCTCTGCCTTTGAACCTACCTTCTGGACACCTATGTCTAGGGATGAACATCCTGGAGGTCTTAGTGCACTCCACCTCCTGGATCAAGCACAACCACTCTACCTGAACTCTGCCTGATTCGGAAACGACAGATCAGGAATATCACCATGTGCTTCTGAAAGACAGTCTGTTCCCAGGGGTCAAAAGCTAAAGGCCGCTCTTTGGAGCATATGCCAACACAGCAAACTCCTGCTCAGTCATGGATTCTGTGCTTCGTGGGTAGCTGCATCACCTGCAGAGTGCCACCATGGGGAAACCAGAAACTGATACTGATTGCAACAACCAGCTCCCCATCCTGATGACTTCAGTTCAGAAACATGACCCAAAGCAAGGAACAGTGGTATGCTGGGGCGACGTAAAGATGGGAGCTACAAGAGCAAAGAGCATGAGATCCCTGGTGAAGAGGTCTCCTGTCTCTTGCCCCATTTTTGACGTTCAAGATTCTGTCTGACACAGAAAACAGCCACAGATGAACAAGCTAGCTCTGCGTTACGGGTGTGGTGCCACCTGTGACAGCCTGAAGGCAGCCAGAGCTTCGGGAGGGTTTTTAGCTCCGATGACTGGCAATGCTGCTGAGCTCAAAGTGTTTCATTTTGCCGATGGTTTCCTTCCAGCAGCACTGCGAGGTCCTGATGACTTCACAGCTTGACTCGCTGCAAGCCCCAGGGAGGGGTGGGAGAGATGCTTGGCAACACTCAGCTCATGGGCATTTCCAAGGAAACCTTAGCAAAAGGCTTCACCTTAAAGCCTGGCCCAGCCACCAGTTGATATTCAGGGTACAGAAAAGTACCCCCCCCCTACAACCCACACAAATTCTTCATACATTTCCACAGTATTTTGTAAAGTTTCATGATATATCTAGATACTGCTGCTTGGGTGGGGTGGAAGCTTCTATTAGAGAAGGTTACTGCAGGAAACCCAAGAGAAATTTAGGGTTGTTCTCATCTTAGAAAAGTTGCATTTGACTTTCATAAAGTATGCAGATACCCCACTGCCACCCCTTACCTGATTATCATCTCGGTCCATGCTGGTATCATCTCGTTTCAGGATAAACCTCTGCGGGAACTCTGCATTCTTCTCATCTTTGATGTGCTCAGAGAACCTCTGCTCAGGGCTGCAGGAAGAACCAGCCCTTGTTAGAAGGGAAAAAATGGAAATAGAACTGTCTTCATAAACCCACTGCTTTGCAGGGAGTGAGGGGGCGTGCAAAGATGTTTGTTGTGTTAAATCTCTCCTCTGTCTGATGGCAACAAGAGCTCCTGCCCCTTCTCTGAGAACTAAACAGGGTTAGGAAGGGCTTGCAAATACCTACACTTAGGACTGAAAGTGAAGGATTCTTCTCTTCTAGACAGGGGACCTGCCCTTCTTATGGAGGCAAAAAAATGTGGTGTGGAATCCGTCTCGCTCTGGACCACGCCTGGGCTCTGTGTCTGGGGGCCAGGTAGCACCATGCAGGGAGGGGAAGGGGATGCCAGCCCAGTTGTTCTCCCTCCCTCCCCCTTACATTCGTGTGTTACTGGTCTTGTTGATAATGACCGCCTTCCCGGTTTGGTCAACGTTATGGTCCATGCCGAAGTAGGCAGCTACCCGGTGTAGCAGCATCCTATGGTATGAGGTCATCTGAGGGAACTTCTTAAACTGATTGCTGCGAAGAGGGGAGAAAGCATTAGAATTTAGAAGGCCTTGAAATGGACGATGATAATCTGACAGCAAAAGAGAGATCAAGGCCAGAGACGCCTTAACCAGATCCCAGATCAGACCGTGCCACCCATTCCAAGCAGTCAGTCAGGATTCAAGTGCTGCTGCTTGCACTGAGCGTGAGCATGGGCTTACACTGCTCTGCCAGAGTTGGGCTGATTCAAGGGCTCGAGCTGAATAGGTCTTTCCTGAAACAAGACCAGCTTGTGCAGAAATGCACGTGTTTGTTTCTAAGCAGGAACAGGAGCCAGAATCAGAACTTATCCTGCGACTGCTCTGATCCTGTTAGATCAAGAACTTTGCAAGCTCTGCTGCAGACACCTGTTCTATCTCACGTTCTGGGATGTGAATCCTGCCCCTGGTTTCTCTACCCCCAATTTACGCTAGGAAGAGAAGCACAACAGCATTGATCTCCTTCCCAGTGGATACGGTGTTAAAGCAACTAATACCCAATCAATACGATACTCAGAAACCCTGTGTATGAACAAAAGGAGGTGGAGGACGTACAAGAGAACAGGCCTCCTAACCAGCGTGTCCGAAAGACACTCCCTTCTCCCCCGGCTGCCCAAGCTCCTAAGCTGTAAGTTACAAACCAAACCTCTTTTGCTTGACACAAACTTGATGATCACTTACTTGTTATCACTAATAAATTCCAGAATCTCCTGTTCTAACTTTAGTAGCATCATTCTATCCCTGTCAAGAAAAGAAAAAGGAAAAGGCCACCGTTAGACAGTGAAACACAGCTTTCTGTGCTTGGTACCCCCCTCCCTGCAACAGAGAAAAGTCACAAATACCCGGAGCAAGCAACACTACTAACGAGGCTTCACACATCCTTCACAGGAATGAACTAAAAAACTCCATATTTTTTCATATGTGGTAAATTAATTGCCAGATTTTTTTTCAGTTTAAAGTTGTTTTGCTAACAGTGCTTGGCTTTTGGTAATATTGAATCTCTGCTCTGCTGGAAGCTCCATTGGTAGAGACTCCAGCTTTGCTATTCCTATGCCAGCATTTGGCTTGATTACATTTATTACTGACACAGCAGCGGTTCCTTTAGAGGTTGGTATTTGACAATCATTTATAGAAAGGGTTTTAAAGCAATCAAGATTCCTTCCTGCTCGCATTCAAACAAATGATTTTTCCTCTTTCTCTCTCTCCGTAATACACAATTATATGTTTTGATTGACTGCAGTATATAAAATTACAGTTGTGCTTTTTTGTTTCTACACTGCTCCAGCTCTAATAACGCTCTCTGAATTCCAAAACGGAAAGCACACTTTCAGGTACTTTCTGTAGTTGCTGCAGTCCCCCCTCCTATTCTCCTAAGATCCATGAATACACACATACACACACACACGCACACAAACACCACGGGCTTAAGAGTCAATCAAAGAAGCATCGGTCGCCAGGTCCTCCCTCCCTTCACTCCATCAGCAAGTTGTTTTACCAACTAGGGACCTACCGTGGGTTTTTTTTCAGTGTATTTACTAAAAATTCATGCAAATCTATTCCAGTGGAGTCTGTATATTCCTGGCTGGAATCTGAAACAACAGCAGCAGCAGAACAGATTAACAAAACACTGCGATAGAATAGACTGAAGGGAAGAGGTGTGTGTCTTGCTACCCGCATGAGGATGATGCCCCTGCATTGCTGCCGCAGGAAATTCACCCTCATTCTCAGCGCCGACTATTCACGACAGGAAGAGAGGAAGAAAAGCCCACCTTGTTACAGAACTTCACAGGTTGAGACACTTATCACCTGGGCTCAAGTCCAGTGTCTAGCACAGGCTCTGAACGCAACCTCTAGGTCAAGTTTCTCAAGCTGTAAAACAGGGACGGGATACCCCGTCCCCCGTGGGCAGCCGGAGGGCCGGCACGCTACATACAAGGCACTACGAGCACAAGGCTCCACTGGGACGCTGGCAAGAGGGGGATCAGATCAGTTCGTGGAAGAAAGCCTTGCCCCTACAACCAGCCTCTCAGAGCACGCCTGGGCTATTCCATGCTGTTACAAGAGGCCCCTGCAAGTGGAGGACACCATACTTTTGTACAAGCAACTTCTGCACCTTTGATCCCTCAAGCTATTTAACTGGAAAGCCCTGGCGGCCCTGTTCTTCCCCTCTCCCCGCACCCTTTTTAATTTAAAAGTAATCACAGAAAAAACAGCAAGCGAAACTGAATCTGCACCGGTGCAGAGTTGCCATCTGTACAAGGATTGCAGGTGCAATTTGCTCACCAGATTAAATGTGTATCTTTTAGCCATTTCTATGCCCCCAAAACCATACACAGAAGATCACACAGCAGAAACTTAGCTCACCTCCCTGCAGCTTCACATCTTGCCACCTGTGGCAGGTTTTATAAAATCAAATCTAAACTGAAAGCAGAAGTCTGTACAGTGGGTCTTCTTGGGTTTGCACCCGCACGTTTAAAAAGCCACCAGACCACTACAAACTATGCAGGAAGCCTGCAAGTCTGTTGGGGCACATGCCAACCTAGAGAAACCCTCCCTCTCCCTCCGCATGCTTTGCTCCAGAAAGGATGTTATAAAAACGATACATTCCTGTACAGTCATCAGCAGAGATAACCGCTCTGCTTCCAACAACTGTACCACTGGCCAGCAGAATCCTCAAAGCGGGCAAGACAGGACCTGCCCTGTTCAAACGAGCACCTGACCTCGAGACAGCATTTTCCTTGGTGCCTTTTCTTTATTCTTGTCTTTTTCTTCTTTCTCAGCCCCATCTTTCGTGGACTTTTCCTCTTCTTTGTCAGAGGGGCAGCTGACGTGCAACTGAATGATGTCCTGGAACAAAACAAACCAGGCTGGTCTGAGTCACTTGGACACTCCCTGGAATCACTGCCATGGCTGGAGGTGTTGGCAGCTGAGAAAGGCATCACGGAAAGGCAGGGGACTCAGGTCGCAGATCTGAGACATTTCCTAAGAGGCCCCGTTCCGAGAGCAGACAAAGCGGCCTCTCTCCCCACCCTCCTTCCAACAAGAAGCCTTCGGCAGGCTCTGAGGGGCCTCTCAACAGCATCTGTCACTGTTGAAAACCTTGCCTTGCCTGGATCACCTCAGAACCTAAACCACATGCTTCCCTGTTCAAAGCTGACAAAATGCTATTACGTTTTGGCCTCTGGAGTGCCCAAGGCGAGGTAGGTCCCGCACCGTTTCAGTAAGACTCTACCATCTGACCTGGAAAGGGAAAGGGCACGAGGAGAAAACGGAACGCACAGCAAAAGCTTATGCAGTGCGATGGGTGCTCCCTGTGCCACATGGGGCTTTCTGATGCTTCTCTTCACCTCCTCTCTTGAGTTGCAACTGCCCAGCATGGCCTGAGGATTCACTCTGCTCCACGGGAAGAAATGTTAAACACCAGCAGGATTGTCAAAGGTGATGTCAGACGATGCGCTGCTCAAATTCAACTTAAAACTGACTATAAAACCACTACCCTTTGTGCCAGCTGATCTTTCCCTGTCCTTCTGCCTTTACGCTAGTGCAGTTCCGTGGCACCGTGATGTGTGCTCACAGTCCTCCCAGTGACCCTACAGCTCTTAAGTGAAACCCACAGGCAGGAAAGCAGCCTCTGGAGCTGGGAGCCTCAACACAAGGAAGGCTTGGAGGCCAAGTACCCCGTTCAGCACAGGGGCGAGGTGGTCTGGGCAGCCCTCAGCCCTGGCACAGGCCAGGTTTGTCCTTGTCCTTGAAAGTAGCGTAGAGGTCTCTGGTCTACACCACAGACCGAAGCTGGTCTTAGGTGTGGTACTGCGTCATCTCAACGAAAACGGGCTGTAGCTAGCCACAACCTGATGTACAGTGAGCCAGCTCAGACCTCCGCACGCTGCACCATCTGGTGCTTCTAAAGCTTGTCTGGGCAGAGAAAGCTCAACCCATCTGCTCTTGCCGGGGCAGACAGGTTCTCGGTGCCTCCCTGACTGCTGCCCACCTTCAAGCTTCAGCTTCTCTGTCACTGCCCACAGTGACCACAGATGGGGATCATCTCTGCAGAGCACTCCATATCACCTCTCTGCGAGCTGGCTGCTTTCAGTCACTGCACCCTGAGCTGCAAGGAAAGGGCTTGCATAAAAACTTCCTTCCCGTGGCCAAAAACCCCAGGGGCTCTGTGAAGGCAAAATGCCATTCCATTTTTTGGGGGTGTAAGCCTGCACAACTGGAGTAGTTGTGGGTGCCCAGTGAGTTGCAGATGATTCCTTGTAAGAGAAGGGTCGTGACTGTACACATACGAGCAGTGCTCACAGGCATGACCGCTTCCTTCAAAAGCAGCCTCCTGTTGGAAATTCTTGGCTCTGAGAGGCACAAGCTCAGGACAGGACATCACTTCTAGCAAGACGTGGATTTTCCAGGCTTCCACACTCCACAGCTTGTCTCATTCTAGGCCTACCTGGGACTCCAGCAGCCCATCTACAAAGGGGCTAGACGATTCTTCACATACAGCCAAACTCCTGACCAGTTTAAGCTTTGAATTAGACTGGAGAAGGAAAAGAAAGAGTAGAGTTAAGACACCTCAGCCAAAAACGCAAGCACTTAAGTACATGCTGCTGCATTACCAAGCCGCTCATGCAGTCATTGTTAATGAAACTGCTAAAAAGGAGGACTACCAAACCAGCTTCTTGCAGCAAACAGGAATATACAAAGGCTTGGAGTCCTAGAGCAAATCAGTTATTTTCTTCCTTCAGTCTTTGATTAGGATTTGAACCAACCAAATTTTAGGTGAGAAAGTTCACTGCCTTAATTCATGCACTCTTTGACCTCTTCAGCCAGAGCAATTCCAGCCTCTCCCCTCCTCACCTGACAAGAATTAAAGCCATTAACAAAGGATAAAGCTGAAACCAACTGTTTTATTGTTTTTTAAGATGTGAAGATGGTTACTGTTCTTAATTAAAAGGCTGTCATCCCATTTGCACCTCGCCTGTCTGACCTGATGACTTTGGTTATTTTGGGTAATGTAGTAGTGCTTAGAGAAAATGCTTAAAATAAAACCTGCACTTTCAGGACTCTTGGCAAGTTGACTCACTTGGGTGACAAACAGGAAAAAAATATATCAACCAGTCACATGAGAACCCAGGCAGGATCAACAATATGGAGAAAGGCCTGAGGTGCACAGACATATTCTGCCCTAGGTATGGACAGGGCAGGAACTGGGATCGCAGCCTGTTCGGGTACTGCACAGAGTCCTGGCTTTTCAGACCAAACAGAACCATTAGAATATTTTTTCTGAACATTCTGTACGCCATAAGCAGCACATCTCTTTCACACATTACTTTCATCAAAACCAAACCCAGGCAGAACCCCTGTTAGAAATTTAACCGTTCTCCCATGCCTCAGGGCAGAACCTGTTTTCATTTGGGTTTGAACTTTTGTGAAAGATAAAAAAAAAAAAAGCAGGGGAGAAGAGACCTTTGCCCTCCCAATCACAGTTTTAAAATCAAGCCCTGGCAGCCTAGTTGGATGTCATAGCTGACCCTGTGTTGAGTAGGAGGCTGCACTAAATGAATCCTAGCTGGACTGGATGGACTCCTGAATTACGCTATGTTTCTATAACTGCCAAGCCTGGAAAATTCATGGCTACTTTTGATGAATTGCCTCAGTAGTTATTATCAAATTTTGCAAAGAAAAAACTGGGGTTAAGGCTAAGAAAGGTAAAAACAAAACCCAAACAAAACAGAACCCCACAATGGCTGCATTTTTACCCTGAGATTTTTGCCTACAAACAACGTTCTAGAACAGTGGTGTCCCGGAGCTTATTACTAGCAAAAGTTTTGGATTCACTAACATGCACGTGCCATCATTATGGGAGCAAATGTGGTATTCCCTGAAGAAAAGGGGCCTTATATGAAACCGCACAGTTATACTTAACTCTGGTTTTTAACTGGAGGGTGGAACAGGCCAGTGCACTGCCCTGTCCCTCCAGGGACACCTCTGAATTTAATTTCTGGTGTTTTGGGCTCTGGGGAGGGGACAGGTGGGGCAGTTAATAGCAGCAAACCGTTCGTTCGTGGGTAAGCGTGCGTTAAAAAGGAGCTCTCATGCTCCAGCGCACGAGAAGTTACTGTCCTGAACCATCATCATGTGCTGCATGTTGCTTCTGGAGACGGGAAAGACTTGAGAGCACCATCCTAAGGCTGGGATCATGATTTGGCTCAGAATGGTCAAAAGAAGAACGGGACGTCAGAAAACGTCATACCTTGGCTCTTTTTCTGGCATGTCCATGACTTGAAGTTCGCCTCTGTGGAGAAAGAGAAGGCAAGAAGCTTCATCGGAATGTGTACACTGTGAATGGTATCTGCTGTGCAAGGCAGCACAACACTGAGCGTGTAAAACGACCCTGAAGAAAATCTCTACCTGACAGCAATGGAAGCACCTGCAAACAGGAAGACCTGGAGAGCTGTCCTGTCAGGCCCCAGGTGGGCAAAAACTGCTCAAGAGACTTTACGTGGATTAGACCCAGCTCCTCTGTTTCTGACAGAACCAGCATAACTGTGAGATCATGGGGCATACAGGTGGAGGTGCGTGACACACTTCTAAGTGGGAAAACTAGAACTCTTCTACCATTCCTGGGACACAACGGCGATTCTAACACAGTGGATCATGAGACACACACTGCTGCTCTGATTTAAGAGACACCGAGTCATCTGTTATCCCTACCTTCTAAGAAACCTTTCCCCTTTCCACATTCCAAAGTGACCACAAGTCAGGCTCTTTCTGAGCAACACCGGTGTCTGCCCATGCAGTGGCTGAACAAATCTGGCACCAGCCACCAGCTTTAAATGCAGAAGCATTCAGCAGGTTGTTGAGGGTGGGCATTTCTTCAAGCTCAACGCTAAGCCAAAAGCACATGTGACAGGAAAGCAGAGCAGCATGAATGAGTCCCAGCACGCTCCTAATGACGCTTGCGCAGCTTTTTTTTCCTTGCTGAAATGAAATCCCAAAACATTCACTTCCTATATGGGCTTTTTTAACAGCAGCAAAGCAATGGCCAAGCACCGTTCCTGAAACCAAGCTCTCCCTGGGATGCCTTCACTTCACATTAAGTCATTAACCGATCCTTAGGTCAAAGAAAGGAATAAGAGGGAGGTAACAGCCATGGGAGCAGAACCTGGGGACTGAGCACAAGTGCCCCCAGGAGCACACCAGTCTCATTTTCTCCAGGGCTCAAAGAATATTTAAATTATTCCACTCTGAGCAGAACAGATTCAGCTAAAGGGAGCAGCCTGCGAACACCACAGTCTGTACGGCGTGGTATCCCCTCGGGAGGTGGTAGCGCAGGCTTAGACCCCTAGAAGGGACAGCAACCAGCTTGTGTTTGCCAAGTAGGAGAGGGCCCAGCTCCGCAAGCTGGCGGAAGGGACCACCCACTCGTCTGCGCACTCACCTGAGACTCCTGGCGCACGCTGACCTCCTCCCCGCCATCCTTCTCCACCTCCTCCTTGCTTGGTGACCTGGATACGTATTTGGTTTTGTTCACAGATTCCTCAACTACCTTTTTTTCAGACTCCTTCATTATTTCCAGAGACTCCTGCGCTGTGTTGCTGTTTGACATCTTCAGAGCCCTACAGTGCAGCAACGGGCACCTGCCAGAAGAGGTGACAGAATGGGTAGAAGGGAGTCAGGGAGCAGAGAGAGTTTTTATCTGGAACACAAACTCTTGCACATACAGGTTGCAACTTCCTTGCAGCTCATCTTGCGTACAAAAACCCCAAAGCAAGCACTCCGACGACAGCCCACCCTCTCACCCCCTTGGATGCAGTCCCTTGCAGCACCTGGCTCGAGGGGAGCTGGCAGGACCTCCGTGATTCTCACCAGGACTCTGGAGACACCAGCAGGGCTGAACAAAGCCTCTGAGATACACAGAGCTCCCCGGTGCAAGCACTCTGCCCTCTAACTTCTTTGATGCGAGCGAGAAACTGGGGGTAGTCTTAATGCTAGCAAACATCCAGAAGCAGGGAATTCAGCAGGTGAAATAACCTCAAGCAACGAGAGGAGGTGTGCTCTGCCCCAGGACAAACAACAACAACAAAATATGCATTTTTTTCCCCAAATCCCAGCCCAGTCCTTGAAATTACTCAAATCTTCAGTGAGAAAACAGCCTCGTACCCAAGACATTGCCCTGGTTCCTCCTGTGAAATAAGGTCTCTCTAGCTGCCTATGGTTAGATACTTCAGGAAGAGTGGGAGTCAAACAATAACAGTCAAATTACAGATTAAGACAGAAAAAAAATAATGCTTCCCGACATAGTTGCGTTTAATTGCTTCCTTTTGATTAGCAAGAACACAGGCAGCCCACAGAGCCCCTGAAACCACCTCTGAATTCGAGCGGAATCTAGACAGGGCAGCAACACGTGCCTCAGTCTGCCGACAGTCTTAAACAGGAGCAATGAACATGTCACATATCCATTCATCAAATTAAGTGTTAATTCTAAACCGATTGCCTAGAACTGAAACGTCAGCCCTCTCAGCTAACTCAAAGCAGGCTGCTTTGAGCTCGAGCAAGGGCTAAACCAGCTTACATAGGACTGCAGAGGGATTCTGGTACTGAGGAACACGTTTGGAGAGACACTGCCTGCGCAGAACCCAGCGTTCGTCCTGATGACGGACGGATAAAGGCAGGATAAAAGGCAGGCCCATTGAGATAACTTTCCAAAGAGAAAAGGGGAAGCCTGAATTTGAGAGAGGCTCAAACAAAAGGCACTGGAAAACACAGCTGATGTTTAACAACTTGTTTTATTAATTACTTTGGCAGAACATGGCTGAAAAAGAGTCAGATCTCACAGAGATTTATCGACTCTTGGCTGTGCATGGGAACTGCTAATATTCATTAACTAATTCAACCTCATTCCCCTTTAATTTGTGGGGCTGCTGAACATAAACCACATTCTTATTGCACTACTGGAATCAGTTCCAGCTAGAGAAAGCAAGAGAGCACAATCAGCTGCTTCTAGTTCATGGATTCCTACAGGGATTCGTAACAAACTTGTTCAGAGATCCAGGGCAGATGCCCTGTTGCAAATGGAAAACGCTGTGTGTTACAGGCAAACCCCCGCGGCAGGGCTGCAGCCGGAGAAACCGCAGTTACCACGTAGCCAGCGTGCCTGGGAGATGCCAGCCCTGCACTGGATCCAAGCAAGAGGATGGGGCAGGACGCTTACTGACAAAAGGAGGAAGCTACGGTCACCTTCGCTTTCCTTCACGCCTGTCATCGCCCGTTCTAGACGTATGATCAGTTTTCCCCCAGCAATAAGACTCCGTGCTGTCAGTTCAGAGTCACAGACAGGAGAACCAGGAAAGGAAAAAGTTCAAGGCCTTGATGAGTTGTGTGGGAAATACCCCCATTGACCCCAGAAAATTCATGAAAAAAGGGTGCAGGAAAAGCCAAAAAAGCTGGCGTGGGTGAATGTGACAGGGCTGCACTGTCTGTTTTATGCACAGGAACCAGTATAGAATCGTAGAATTGTTGAGGTTGGAGAAGCCCTTTAAGATCATCCAGTCCAACCATTAACCCAGCACTACCAAGTCCACCACTAAACCAGTTAAGGGCAAAGCAGCAATTCCATCTTTCCTGGCTTGGGGGCTGGATTATTTTTTAATGAAAGTAAAAGCAGGAATCACTAAGGTTGGAAAGGATCTCTAAGATCATCAGCCCAACCATCACCCCAACACCCCCATGCCCACTAAACCATGTCCCCAAGTGCCACCTCTGCCCGTTTTTGAACCCCTCCAGGGATGGGGACTCCCCCACCTCTCTGGGCAGCCTGTTCCAATGCTTGACTACCCTTTCTGTGAAGAAATTTTTCCTAATACCCAATCTAAACTAAGATTAACCCAGAGAGATGGGCGTCACATTGGTATGTTTCAAGGCAGATGGGCGTCTCCGTAGAAGAGTGACTGTGGATGCTATGGGTTGATATAGGCAAGCGGATACATCCCAGCATCGTATGAAAACAAGGTATTTCTCACTAGAGAGAGGCTGGAAGATCCCAGCCGCTGTTCATGTGCATTCATCCTGGAGCAGGAAGGTTACGAGAAACTCACTGTTAATTCCATAAGCAAATTCCTACGTAGCACACCTGAAAGCGGTAAGGCGAGGACACGAGGGGCCGGAAGGCTCTCTTCTCACCAGAGGGGCAATACCGAACAAACACAACCGGGCCAGGTCCCTGGGCCTGCTGCAGCGCTGAGCCGGGTTCCCTCAGCCCGGCACCATCACGCTGTACCAAGCAGGCTGTCCCACAACCAAACCGGTGGCTCCCGGCAGAAAACTGCTGCCATCGACAGCTTGTTACAGAAAAGAAACCAGAGAGTGGGCTGCTGTTGATGTTAGCCTCGCAAGACAATTCTGCAAACTCCTCTCCCTTCCGGCTGCTAATGATTTCCAAGCACGTACGTGGCGTCAAATGCCAGGCGGAGGAGAGGGCGAGGGCACCTCAGCCTGCTATTCTGCATGCTGATCAGCACAGATCCTTGCGCTGCGTGGCTGGCTTGCGGCTCCCTACCCCTTCCTGGCACAGTCCCACGGGACGGCGTGCGGCACCACAGACGATCCCATCGGCAGGCGTCTCCTGGAGCACCCCTGCAGGAAGCAGCTTCCCTTGGGAATGGCTGAGGCATCCAGCCTCCAGCTGCAAGGGTCTGCTCTTCATCCCGGCGGGCCGGGCATCCAGCAGCTGCCAACAGGAACCGCCATGGAGCTCCCAGGTTTCTAGCAAGCGCGCTGCCTGGGGTGGGGAGCAGGCATGAGGGAGTCGTGCTCTGCCGCGATGCCTCCGACAGGAACTAGGTCAGGAAAGGAAAAGGGAACGCTTGCTGGAGTTGCACGCCAGCCTCCTTAGTGGGAGTCTGGACTATGCAGGGGGTGAAGCTGGTAAACTCTGCCTCCCCCCTCCCCAAAACGTTCCACGCTGGAGGAAACTGCTCCGGCCTCATGTCCAGGCCAGGGGCCTGGCTTGTAAACAAGCCAGGAGGATTTGTAGCAGATTTCGGGAAAGGAGACAGAAGGAGGCACCTGAACCACACACATGACACTTAACTAAAGGGGGAATTTCTGCACTAAAATAAAGGAGCAGCTTTGTACAGCTCACTCTCTTCGCAACAGCCACCCTATAACAAGTTTTTACCCCCAAGCCAAGCACCTCAGTCAAATTTGAGAAGGGTAACGGAATCTTTTCTCATCATACTGCAATGTAACTTTGGCATCACAAGGGGAATATCATCAGTTTTCCCTGTCGTCTTCCAGAAAAGACGACTCGGAGCCACTGAGTTGGCATTTGTAGGCTGTCCCCTCCCGATAACCCTTCCATCCCTGACAGCACTCCTCCAGGATATTTCCCTGCACATAAAATTCAAAGAAGATATGTGCACTGCTAGTGCTTCTCGATAGCCATGCTTTCAAGAGGAGGTTTCCTTTCTGTATGAATGAATCAGCCCTGCTCTCCCAGGACAGGCGTGGGCTGCAGCGAGGGGGTGGCAGACATGATCTGCTGTGACAGACAGCGGCTTGCAGAGAAAGTGGAAGTTCAGAGGACTTGGCGGGGTGGGTGGGACTGAGCTGTGCCTTGCCAGGGAGATGAAAAACTTACATAGATGCAACGTTACGGAAGCCACGAAATCTGTGTCAGAAAAGCGAACAACGGAGCAACAGAAGGTGGGTGAGCTGCCGTTGATTTTTTGGGTTGGGTCTGGAGGCTGGGGTGGGGTCTGGAGGCTGGCGAAGTAAACAGGCCAGCCAAGGCAGTGGCAGCGTGAACGCTTCGTGCATGCTGGCCAGGGGCCAGGGGAAGGGGTAGCCAGGACAGAATTACATCCTCCTCTTCACCCCGAAGGGGAACATTGAATTCCACCTCTGCTGCCTTCTTGCTACATGCAATTTGCAGCTGCCAAGCCATGACAATGCAGGCAGCAGCTGGTCCTGGTTAGGCAGGGAATAAAAGCAAGGAACTTCTGCATTTACAGTTAGGATGGATCCAGCAGCAAATCTAGGAAAGGCAGGAAGCCTGCTGCTAAATACGCTCTCTTCCTGGCCTTGTTTCTCCGAGTACAGACACGCTCCTGTGAGCTAAATGAGGATGCAAAGGAAACATATGGCTGCTTGGCTGTAGCTGCCTACATGCACGCTCCTGTGTCGCAGTAGGATAGAGGTATCTGAGGTAGCTCGTCCCACCGTGCAAGAGAGTCCAGCTACCTCTCAGTTTTCAGGGGGAAAGGAGACAAGTGTGAGTGGGCTCCACTTTCTCAGTCCCTGCCCAAGCCATGACCGCAGGAGCAAGTCTGCATGCTGACAGCCTTCTTGACCAGGCTTCACAATTTGCTTCAAAGACAAGAATCTTGACTCACTTCCCCTCCATCTCCTCCCTTGGTTACTAACCAATTCTTTTTTTTGCCTTCTGAGACTCACTCCAAAAGGCATTCAACGGGGCAGAGTAAAAATCTTATCAGACTCATCCCAAGTCATCAACGTTAACGGAACAGAGTTTTCATAGAATCGTTTAGGTTGGAAAAGCCCTTTAAGATCATCCAGTCTAACCATTAACCTACACTACACCAAGTC